AAAAGTGAACATGTTGCATTGTTTTTTGTTGCATTGAGATTTAATTTCTTTTGATAGTATTTTTGAATACTATGCGTCTCTATACATAATTTAAATCACTTTTCCTGTTAAGTTTGTGTACTTACATACATTAAAATACGATTTTTCAAGTGTACGAATATTTATTTCCCCCCACTGTATATATTTTTCTCATTGGCATCCTGAAACTTGAATATATTCAAGTCTTTCAATCAATAGAGCTTTAGAGCAAGAGGTAAAAAGAGCTTCAATTAAGACCACACCAGCGTGTGACGTACGAATTTTTAAATAAAAGAAAAAACTGCGCGAAATGGCATTGGTCGCTGCATAAACTTTCAAATAATTGAAACCTTGTTAGAGGCGCTCGTTTCAACAGGGTCGAATTGAATTTTGTATCAGAGACTAGAAGTAACCCATGGCAACAATCCACATGGAAATTAATGCCTTATCCCAATGTTCACAAAGATTTAACCCGCTCAGTTTCATTCATCAATTTGGACGCAAGTAAGACAAACAAATGAATTTTCCTGTTGTTTAAAAGTGCTTTGCAAGCATACATACAAATCGTTTTCATGTCGCGACGATGCAGTCATATACGTACCAAAGAGTGGCGATGAACAGCGTTAAACTGAAGACTGTTAGAACCACCAGCAGACGAGACGCTCGGCAGCCAGGAATAATCATGTCTCCTGACACACTCAGTTTACCCTCAAACAAAAATAAGAAATTTCAAAAATGCTTGACCTCTTTATATTTTGTGTAATATTCGTGTAAACTCTAAAGCTATTTATTGACTGAACTTATTCGCGCTTTTCACACCTGTATTCTCCCTCTCAATTGCAGGGTAAATTACGTTTTCAAACGCCCAATTATCCGATATTTTTCAGTCAAATTGACAGTCCAGCTTACATGGATGCTCTATGTTCAGTATTTAAGTACGTCACTTGGTGTTCATAGTACGACAGCGTTGCGACAACTGTGTCCTAAGTTTCATGTATAGAGGCTGTGCCGTCAGTAGAGCAGGTGTGGCAATGCTGGCGTCAGCATTTGCTTTTGTACGGAGACTTCTTACCTGGTACGTCAGATGAAATCAGGGCCCATACTTAAAAAAAGTTAGGAGATCATAAGTTCATCAGCCAATCATTGACGGCCTTTCAAGCAAAATCCACCAATCATAGACGAGAAAATAGAGCTTAAGTACTTACGTTCATTTGGCGAATTTTGAAATTATGGCCCCAGAACCGGAATTGAATTTATTGTCTGTAGTAAAGCAAGTCTCTGATCAATGCCCCTTACATATACAAACTGTTGTAATCCGTTGAAATCTGATTGTGGTTTCTCTTTTAACTTATAAAGTTTCACATAGTAATACGATGATGAATACATAGATAATTTATCAGCATAAAAGCCAAGTATGTAACAGTAATCAGCTTTATTGCACACCGCTTTTGATTAGAGATATTAGGGTAAATAATCGTGATTAGGGTAAATCATCGTGATTAGGGTAAATAATCGTGATTAGGGTAAATCATCGTGATTAGGGTAAATAATCGTGCTTAGGGTAAATCATCGTGATTAGGATAAGTCATCGTGATTAGGATAAATCATCGTGATTAGGATAAATCATCGTGATTAGGATAAATCATCGTGATTAGGATAAATCATCGTGATTAGGATAAATCATCGTGATTAGAGTAAATCATCGTGATTAGGGTGACTATTAGTTCGTATTACCTACGAACTATTTCTGCCGCAGCTGGAGAAGGACCGCTGGATCGACAATCTAAACAGTGAGCATTAATCTCTAACAAATTTTTTAGATAAATTAAACTCAAAAACGTATCCTTGTTCACACTTCACCATAAGCTAATATATAATGCAAAATATAGAAGCTGCGTAGAGTAAAATACAACTCATTTATTGCGGTTTACTTATTGTAAAACTTCAAGATAACCGACGCAGCAGCATTGGTCCCTTTGCCTGATCTTGACTGATTTTAATCGTTACTCATATTCGGCTTCTATGAAAAATTATATGCATTTACATTGTGCACTTAGTGTTGTTTCATTACTTTATTGTAAAGACTATAATTAAAATTTTATTGTTTAAAGAAAAGTTAATTAGTGAAGCCGCTATATATGTATCAACATTGCAGGGGAATCACTTACATGGAATACCAGACAACATCATTGGTACTTGACGAATCCTACTTAACTTGGTATTCAACGCAACTCAACAAATTTAACTTATACATTCAAAACCACAATTACCCAATTATTATCTGTAATAAATAATGTTAAGCAAGCGATGCAGAACTTATGCAGGCAGATACTCAAATAAAGATAGGTAAAACATTTTACAATTTTCAGCTTTGAATTTCAGTATAGAACGCAGTACATGTACACATGAAGATATATAAAGTAAATTTATGCATATACTGCTAGGCATGCACAACTTCAGTGTCAATTGGAGCAATGGGTTATGGTGGAATATATACTGAAGTTTAGAATTTTAACATTTAAATAAAATTTAAACGTGCCGAAACATTTTCCAAATGTCAGGTGGTCTTATTTAAGCGATAAAAAATGTTTAATTCTATTGTGCGTTTTTTTAAATCATTTACATTAAAGTGATTTCTTGGAACTCCAGAATTTTACGAATAAAATAAAAAAACAGTAATAAATGAAGAGGGAGATGAAAACAACACTTATATTTTTAAGTAACAGTAAATTGATAACCCGAAAATTTCTAATTCTATTCATAAAGTATTTGCACTATCATAAAAACAGGGAACATTATTTTTAACAAAAGGTACATTCCCGTCGAAGAATCTTTGTTAAAGCAATAGATGTTCAATGCATAATCGACGTTCGCAGCCTCCATAGCCCAACCCTACTCACTAAATAATACTGGTACGTAATATCATTATTAGGTGAAATAGATTATTGTTTACGCTCAAATCGCAAGATCTAGCGGTATAAATAGTAACTGAGAACTTTTCGTGGAAGACGACCGCCAAATTCGAATCTCATGAATTTATACATAAAATCAAGATTGTAGTTTTTAGAAACTCTTATGAAGTTAAGCGACATCAATACAACGTGTGCCGATTCGTTCTGCGCTCATCGCTATCTAGGAACCAAAGAGAACCAAAACTATTTCAATGACATTTCTTTTAATTTACTTGGGGTTTTTGTCCATTCTGAATTCTTGATAGATTTGCTATTAACGCAAATAAGATATAATAAGTACGCGTATTTATATGAAATATATTTTTCGAGATTATACCTCCATTACACTTTCCAACTAAGTTACCAATGTGCACCACTTATATACTATTTAATTTTTGCTTCTAATTCTAGTGAGAACAGCAGTAAAATATGAGAACAATGTCATTTTGTTCATTAAAGTTGACCCAGTGATTACACATTGTTCTGTCACACAGACTGGGTCAACTCACTGTTGACTGGGTCAACTCACAGTGTGTGAGTTGACCCAGTGAGTAAAATATGAGAACAATGTGATTTTGTTCATTAAAGTTGACCCAGTGTATTCTATTATTCAAACGGTTCATGAACCTATCCATCCGCAACAGGCAGCAGACGATGCAGGACTGCGTCAATTCCTGCACGAATATCGATACTCGTGAGATGAACAATCATTCTGGAATAAGATCATGTATATAACATGTTGGGCTCCACCAGGTATATAAAATATAGCGATTTCAATTACTATAAATATATGAGACGCGATGTTAATTTCTATAAGCTCGGACGAGATAATTCAAACGCTAACACATCGGCATTTTTATTTTCATTTTAACAATTGCGCATACAAGTTTATTGCGAAAGATTAGGCCGATAAGAAATTAAGAACATTTGCCAGCATTTCAAAAAAGGAGATTTCAATAAGCCCTTCGGTAAAAAGCGAATTTACTTGCCTCTTCAAATGTTTCAGGCCTGAGTTGAATCCAGTATCTGCAGGCAGAATTTCCATTTATTAGTTAGTAAACGTAAATAAAATGTAGAGTTTAATTTTAAATATGCCACTGTCTTTGGAATCGTTAAGGTCAGCAAGATGGCACCGTTTATGTGGTCGTTAAGGTCAGCAAGATGCCACAGTTTATGTGGTCGTTAAAGTCAGCAATATGCCACAGTTTATGTGGTCGTTAAGGTCAGCAATATTCCACCGTTTAAGAGGATCATCAAAGTAAGCAAGAATGTTCTGCATTATTATTGCCTGCTAGTGTTCACCATTTTACAGAATCTGTAAAACATTTGTGTTCCACAGTTTACCAGTTCGTTAAGCCTTGTAAATGTATCCCAATTAACCGTGTCCATTCACATGTTCCTCGTGATGTTATCACACTGATAGTAAAAGTTTGCAGAAGAAGGTTAATAAAGCAAAGGCATTGGAAGTCACTGTTTACTTAGCAAAGCAATATATACAAGAATTAAGTTTGTCCGAAAGCCCACACAACACGAACAATATCACGCGATTGTTAAACTGCAAATAATTTAAATAATAGTCAAGACGCAAACACTCTACAGCCTCTGCACTCTTAAAGTCTAATGGACGAAACATGCCATATGCACGGCCAAGTTAATAACAAGTAATTAAAACAAATGAATAGACGTCCTAGTGCCAATTGTACTTTTCTAGTGCCAATTGTACGAAAAAATATGCTAACAAAAATTATGATTTCGAACGTCACGATCGTTCTCAACTGAACCCGTTGTCAGAATTCAAAAATTTTAAACTGAATATATGAACCATCGACTTTTCAGATAAGATGCGTTAAAACAAATTCGTTGAAATGACGAAAGGATTGATATAGAAACGAGACTAGCAGATACGGTCAATCATACATGTATAATCCGGGAGTTCGTTGAAATTCTTCACAGATAACAATAAATAAATTTAATAGTACTTGTTCAATAAATCTTCAAAGTATTTGAAGTGAAATAGAACAAAAAATGACGATACGGCTTCTCACGACTAAACATTTAGCCAGTTATAGATAAGACGATTGTTTCCTATAAATTAAAATAATAATTAACTGACGTACGCAGACAACAATGAGGAACAACGGGCGTTCAAATTCCAGAAAGAATATTGTCTTAATAAGAATCATATGTAACGGCTTGCGTAAAACCTGATCTGAACTACAGATCGACACAGACATACTCCATTAAAAGTTAATAATTCCTCTCAAATACTTAAATTGTTATTTAAATACTTCGTTGCTCATAACTAACTAACTTATATTCCATTCAAAACAGTAACGATAAATAGGCTTATATATCCGTTGAAGTCGAAACCAACTCCAAAGGATCCGATCGAACGGCCGTAGGGAAGCTCTGTAGCGATACATCAAAGTAAATCTGGGATATTAGCTTCCACACGCTGGTTTACACTTTATAAGAAAAAAATATCTTTAATGTGAATCATTTTAGGGGACAAAATCAATCTCGGGAGGGACAATTGACGCCAACTGTAACTTGGAACGAACATGCGTCAATTCAACATTCGAACATTCGCCTTCTTAGTCAGCTACTTGTAATTAAATTCATATCATACTACAAACAACCGCTACGGTCAGGGAACGGAAAATAAACTTAAAGTTAATTCTTAGAACGTCAAAAACGCAATAAATTCAGCCCTCTCAATTCAGCCCGTCAATCAGCCCTCTCAAGAAAATTGGAAAAGCACCATGCATGGGCAGACTTGATCACACTTACAAAATAATTCTCTTAAAATTAAACCAACTGCCGAAACAGCACCCAACCTTAATATAAAGAAGCTTCGAGTTTGAACCTAATTGTGCGTTTTATTCTTTTTGGAAGATTCACATAACCAATCAATTCATAGTTGCGCGTCATTAAAGTTCTTGAGGAACTTCACGCGCTATAATGACCCTTCCGGCCGCGATATTCAAGATCAACTTATTATTAGGAGCGTCTCAATTTATCTTTAATGGAACCCGGACAGTGAGGATGCAACGATTTTCTGATATTTAATACACAATTTGTTGGCACCTGCGATCCCAACTGTTGGGATCACACAACCGGTATACCGTACCGTACCGGTATACCGTACGTGACGCAAATATATTATAGATTTGCATAATCGTACCTTCACTATGTAAATATTTTTTTTATCAATCAACCATCAAAAAATTAAGTTTTACCTTACCGATATCGTTTTCAAGGTGCATTATAAATTATTTTCACGTAAGATGCAAATTTTCATTATTGACAACTAGAAATTTTGCTTACTACAATGACGGAACTCTTTTTTCCAAATACATTTACAAGAGTGCATATTATCACAGCTTGGATGAAGGCTCCTAATTCTACAAGGAATGATGTCACTAACCAGCTTGCATGAACACCTAGATGAACACGTAGCAACTTGCTCTTCACTAGCGGTACCTAGCAAATGAACAACAGAATTAAGTAGTGACAGACAGCATCGTTCAGCCAGACTCCCTTGCTACCAAAGAACACAACTATTTGCAGAAGAGGCCAAGACAACACAAGATAAACGGCCATGGGCCGCTGATGTGTAGGAATGTTGACACAGATTGCAAGCCTTAGCCTGAGCAAATTCAGCTTACCATGCACGTCAGGCAAACAACATAACTGGCCAGAAATCAAAAACATTTCGATAAAAATTAAAAAAAGTTGTATACCTTGTATCTATCTATGCGTTACATTAGTTTTTGAAATAGAGAGGAGTGAAGAGATACGAGAGAATGATGCATATATTGTTCGATAATATGATGCATTGGTATATTGCTTGATAAAAAGATGCATTTGTAGGTTGTTGCAAAATAACTGCAAGCATAACAACCAAAACTGATTAAAGTAGAACACACAAGCAATTAATTACATGAACATAAAATTCATTAACAATTAATAATGAACACATCAATCATAAAAAAAATTTGAAAAAAAAAAAAAATGAATGCAAAGAAATAAGCCAAAAAAAAAAAAAAATAATAAAAAATGTCACGCTGGTTTAGAATCAACAACAGAGAAGAGAAGGAGTTGTTAGTCAATAAATAAAGAGAAAAACAGTTGTTCAGTAAGGTAATGATTGCACCACAAATAGGAGCAGTCAGTTGAACATTTCTATAAACAGCGAATAAAAATTAAAATGAATTTAAGTACAACATTTCGATTAATATCAGCGAATGTGACAATATCATAAAATTTTTAAAACAATTTGGCAAGTCTAAGCCAGCTAAGCGGCCCAAGGTAACCTACAATACATATAGTTTTGCATTTTTTCAATTTTGAGATGTAATATATACTAAATATCTGATATAAAGCAACATTATTCTTAAAAAATGAAAATAAGGAAGTTTACAGTAGTTACTTCTAAGCCCTAATTATTTAATACCTCGGGTAAAAACAGATTCATATGAAGTCATTGCAGCATTGCACCAATATTATTTCTGATATGAAAATATTATTGAAAATAAGTCCTGATTATACCTTAAAGAGCCTAAACTTTAAACATGACTATACCATCAGGCGGTATGGTGGCGACTGTAGGCTTTTTAGGAGGCTGGTAGCTGTACAGGAAAATAGACCCGATGACAAAGACGGTGCCCACAATATACTGGAAGTTTATTGAGAAGCCCAGGAACATTATGGACACGAGCATGGAAAGGACGATGGCGAGAGACGTGGCAAAGTTCTTGAGGATGTTATCGGCGTACTTGACGACCATGGCAACAAGAAGTCCTCCCGTGGCGTTGAGAACCACCAAGTACCACACGTAGGCGTCGTAGCCAAAGAAGAAGCCCTTGTTTTTGATCTCTGTCCAGTCGGTGGCGAGGCACGTGAGTAGACCAAGCGGCATGGAAGCCAGTGAAAGCTGGACGTTCCTCATCCAAATGGAAACATCGGAGCCCTTCAAGATCTTCTCGAAGTAAATGCCAGCAAAGCCTGAGCAGAAGCAGGCGCCTATCGCAGCCCCCACGCCCAGCAGCTTGTTCTGCTCCACAGACCCGACAACGGCTACGGTGGCTGTAGGAGAGAATCATGAAGGTTATTGAGGTTTAGAATTAATTGGTTTTGTTAATTCATGCATTCTTGGTTGTAAACAAATGACTTTGATTGCCTCTAATATTCAATGGTTCGAAATTATATCATCAATTGTTGTTATCAATGAAGATATATATAATTAGATGATAATTGTTACAGACTTGCAGCGAGCTGAACGAGAGCAACGCCGATGCAGAGCAGCACGAGCGCCACCCACTGTAGCTTGTGCAGGCTGCGCCCCAGCATCAGCACCGCGAACATCGCCGTCGTCAGAATCTTCAACTGGTACGTCACCTGCAATTGATTATCACACATTAGTTATTAGTACAATCACTGGCACAATCATTTGGTAAGTCACCTGCAATTGATTAGCACACATTAGTACAATCATTTGGTAAGTCACCTGCAATTGATTATCACACATTAGTACAATCATTGGCACAATCATTTGGTAAGTCACCTGCGATTGATTAGCACACATTAGTACCATCATTTGGTAAGTAACCTGCAATTGATTAGCACTCATTAGTTATTAGTACAATCACTGGCACAATCATTTGGTAAGTCACCTGTAATTGATTATCACACATTAGTACAATCATTGGCACAATCATTTGGTAAGTCACCTGCAATTGATTAGCACACATTAGTATAATCATTGGCACGATCACTTGGTTAGTCACCTGCAATTGATTGGCGTTGTCAGTAGTTATGTAGTTATGTTTTGCTAGTCTGAGGCAATGTCTAATGGAGTACCACTAGATGCTCATTCTATGTATTCAGGCAGGAAAGTTACCTTGAATAAAGTGGTTACTTATTTTCAAATCATCTCCACATATACATATACATGGAATGTTGCTGCAAATAGAACGAATCTAAACTAAATGCATTAACATAGATGGCATGGCTGCATTGGTTGAGTTAGATGATGTTGTTATGACCAGAAGAACGATAATGTTATCAGATTTTTGTTGCACAACTTAAAGAATACAGTGACACAAATTTATGATTAATTAGCTCTTTGAATTAACCTTTAAGTTGTTAAGAAGTCATAACATGTATATATAGTCAGATTGAACATGAAGTAAATCACCTGTAATGTATTTACAATAATATCAGTTGAAATAAATAATTCCTAAGCACATGATATGACAATTCCAAAGTAGTACAAACTCTGAAATGAATTATATGCAAGTAGAGAATCAGGAGCCACTTTTGATTCACTACCTACTACACATTCACTTCAAAATTTTGAGCATAAACAAAAATTTATAATAATTTACTATTTATTTACCTGATATGTTGCTGCATCCAAGTTGGAAGCTGACACATAGAGAAGATTGTTTTGAATGAGATATATAAAGGCTGGTAGGCTGACTTTGAGAGTGTCAACTTTGTTCTTCCAAACATGCACATATACCGACATGATCCCAGCCTGGGGAATAAAAAAATTATTAATTCATCATACAGTCAAAAATGAGATAAGCTTCATAATGACCAACAATAAAAAATAAAAAAAAAATCATTTAATTCATTATAAATTTGAGCTTCTATAGTAAATGTGTATAGGAATGAGATACTTATACCTAGATATAAGCATAAATTTTTTTACTTCAAAGTACAATCAAATGCAAGACTTATATGCACATTAAATGATCACTTACTGGTAGAGAAGCCTCACTTCTTATAGACAGATACAAGGAAGCAATGAGCTTGACAACTTCTGCCATCAGCACAGCTGGAAAATGCATGAACATATATATAAACCATGAGACAAATCCTCACAATAACAGCTTGAAAATGTTTAATTTGCCTTCATGTTCAAGAATAATCATAATGGTAAAAAAATATAATAAAGTTGTATGTTGTAAATGCATAGAAAATTAGATATGGTTGGAGAACTTGAATTGGCTGAAATCTATAAAAATATGAGCATGCAAATCAAACAAAAATGAAGTTTGACTCAGAAGCTACATTGATATTCAGAAGGTTCATTTGGATACAATTTTTTGATGAAACCTTTCTACAACTATCTATTCATTGGCAATTCAAAGCTTAATGGTATTATGAAAATATAATATTTAGGTAACATTTAGGATTTAGGAAGGATGCACAAAATTTTGTAGTTGAGTCACATATATACCATATTGCTTATCTGTGGATGCAATAAACATGTTGCCATTTTGAGTTCTGTAGTTGAGTTGCATATACATTGCTTACCTGTGGATGCAATAAACATATCACCATTTTTAGTTCTGTAGTCGAGTCACATATATATTGCTTACCTGTGGATGCAATAAACATGTCACCATTTCGAGTTCTGGAATAACGCATGCTAAGAGCAACAGCCGCATTTTGTACTGTGAGTGTCACCAGGCTCACAAGCTTCATGGTCTTATCGCTGCTATTTGGGCTCGTCATTTTGATCCTGCAAAAAGAAAAAAATTCTACTTAATCAAACTTAGCTTGAAGTTAGTTTAAGGGTGGACAAGTCATCTAACAGGATTCTTGTGGCTCCAAAAGAGGCATGAAAGCTCTATGCCTAGCAAGGAAAAATCTAGTGATCAACTCTCCATCTCCAAAGTGGGATTAGATAGATTTGGATTTAAGAGCCATGAATTTATGAAGTCATAAACCTATTTTTTTATTGAGCCATGAATTGTTTTTCTAGGCCTTTAAAAGCCATTATTGAGCTACAAACTCATCTCTGTCATTTGGCAAACTGTGATCTAATTTGTCATTCCATGCATACATACGTATTATGCCAAATCTCTCATCTAATTTTACCATAGAATTACCAACAGCAACAGGAACATTTTTCTTTAGACTTTACCTAACTCAAATCTTTGAGGCACTTAACCACAACCAGGAATCCAGGATTAGACAAATTCTACTCATTTTTAAAAATTGCAGATGTAATATTAATAATAATAGTTGTTTCAACATTTATTAGGCTGTAGGCCAGTTGCCAATTCTCAACAAGTCAACATTGCACAATATTTGCAGCTTGTTGAGATCTTGGACAAACAATTCACTCTTCCAATTTTGCTGGGCTTAACTGCCTGACCTTCTTGCCAATTCTGACCAGAAGCTTGCGCACAGAGCTGGGATCAAACCTGCATCTCGATGCTCTTATTGCTCTAATCTTGGTACACTAAACTGCATATTATTAGTGATAATTTGTTAAACCACAAATTTTTTAGAAACAGTTCATTTTTAATTTCATCTACTCAAGATTTAAACCTATTTCTGTTGTATGATATTGCTGGTATCCATGATACTTTGATGGTATACTTATTATAACTTATAGGACTCAATATAAATGTGAGAAAGAGTCTAAAAAACTCTCTGGTTTGAGTTTAAAACTATGCTGAACTGTAACCAGTAACGAGTAACCATTGATCACCATTCACCAATATGATGAATTCAATATGAATATCACATCATTCTGCTAAGTATGAAATTTAGTGCCTGCAAAGTCATGTATTTTCCTTTGATAAAAATATTGTAGTTTGCAAAGGTGTCATTTTAGGAAATTTTTAACTTTTGCGGTTTAGTATCAGTATCACTCTCCCTGGCTCCCATCAAAATATCCTGCAAGGCTGCACGAATTCACAATGACATATTTATTAAATCATAATTTATCCCAACTACGTAACTCACAAATGTAGAGGATACATAACAAATTCAGTAAATAATTTTCTGCAAATACACAAGTATATAAAAAAATACTTAAACAAAAATTCAAAGGCAGAACACGTACGTACAAATTTGCTATGCTCAATGTCTTCGCTGACACGTCGGCATCCTTCAAATGTTTGTTTACACCCCGAATGGGTTGAATGAGAAAGAATGGAGAAGAGGTCCTAGTATGGATCATTGTGTTGCATCGCATTATCGAAATATTCGAGTATATAATTGTTAAAATCGCAATAAAATATTTCTCAATTAAAAATTGAAGCCAGTAATTTGCATCCAGATCATATGTCACTACTCTTTGAAGGGTTCAACGTTGTTGGAGAAATTCTCGTCTAACAAATAATTTCATAAGCGGTCGCAAGGGATTAAATTGCATCAAGATCCTTTAGCTGGATCTAAGATTCTTGCCTATAAATTTTCCTGCAATATGCCGCAGTGCATGACTTTTCTGCAAGTGTATTTATAAACTATAAATAATTCCCACACGTTCTGTTTAATATAGGAACTTTTACTCGAATTTCGATGGATTTAAGGCCTGATGACCTTGAAAAAACACTTCATAAGTGAGGTCTTTACAGGGTCCGCCATAATTATGTTAATTGATGTTTGCTATATAAAAATAAATTGGTTTCTAGGAGACTTTTCCTTTATAATGAAGCTTAATATCACCTATTAATTCATCTATTTTACATTGCAGAAGTCTAAGGTGTCTAAATTTACTATTACTAATGGCAGTAGATAGAAATGCAACTGTAACCCTTCATTAAAAGGGCGATAGTAATTCAGTGATTGCAAAATATCTCCAAATTCGTCGTAAAACTGTGTGGAAGGTGGTAAAATTCAAGGAAATTGGTGAAACATGCATTCATCCTGGTCAAGGAAAGAAACGAAGTGTCCGAACAAAACAATTGGCCAAAAAAACGAGGGAGAAGTTAAGGAGAAACCCTCAAAATTAGCTGCAAAAGCAGGAGTCAGTCAGACATCAATGCGTAGAGTCCTCAAAGATGACCTCAAAACTTCCCCGTACAAGATGCAAACAAGGCATGATTTAACAGTGCGTCATGAACGAATGAGGCTCGAAAGATGCCAGCACATTCAGGATCACATTGAGGATGGCACGCTGCCCAACTTGGTATTAAAATAGAATAGAATAGAAGTGTCGGCGTTGAAGAAATAGGCCCATGGCCTGTTGCCGATTCTTGAACTTTACGTGACTTGATTCACAAGGGATCCGGCCTTTGGAACCCGATCTTTCCATAGCTGACGATTGATTGAGATAGCTGCTGGACTTATTTGACGTCGATAACGGAGGCTTGGAAGCTTCATAATCTTCAATCTTTCCTCATAGGACTTGCCTTTCAAGCCCGGAACTATCCTTGTTGCGCGTCTTTGAACACTCTCTACTAAATTTTATCCTTTTCAAATTTCGGTGACCACACGACGTTCCCAAACTCTAGGTTTGGGGGCACGACAGCAACAAACAACTGCTTCATCGTTTCTGCATCTAGGAACTCGAAAGAGCGTCTGATCAATCCAAGTCGTTTATTGGCTTTATTACCTTGACCTTCAATATGCTTAGAAAATTTCACTCATTGGCAATAACTCCTAAATCCTTTTCCGTTGTCGAATTCGACATCACTCTGTGTGTCACTCACTCTCATCACTCATTCAGTGACGAGAAAAAATTGACTTTGAACGAAGAGTTAACCGTTAAAATTAAAGAGTTTGGAGTCGGTATGGATCTGTGGCAAGCAGAACAGCAACACGACGTCAAAATCCCACGTCCGTGATGGTTTGGGATGCGGTAACCGCCACTGGGAGGTTCCCACTCGTTTTTGTCGCCTCAGGAGTGAAACTGAATGAAAGCGATACATTTCGGACATTTTGGAAGCTGTGTTGTTATCTTGGGCCCGTAAACACTTCAACGGCTCACCATGGAGTTTTCAACAAGACTCTGCCTCATCACATGGCTCAAACATAACCCAAAACTGGATTCAGGGGTCACACCCCAGCGTTCATTAGCAAAAATGAATGAACCTCAAGAAGCCCTGATTTGAATCTTCTCGACTTTTCTGTGTGGGCTATATTAGAGAGTACGGTCTGCAGAGCACCTCATGATTCTTTGGATAGTTTAAAGTCTAACGCGACACGAAAATGGGACTTGATACCTCAAGAAATGCTGCGTGTTTCCTGTGAAGCTTTCCCGCGTAGATTGGAGGCCGTCATTAAAAATAAGGGTGGTCATATTGAATAAATATATCTGAGAATAATTTAGGTAATTCTTGGCTATTAATTCTTCCAATAAAAAACAATGCATCTTTTTGTTTCATTGAATAACATAGAAATATAAAAAAAACTTGCATTGCTATAAATATGGCGGACCCTGTATATTGTCTAGCTGCCACGAGTGACATAATTGTTATTGTTAGTAGGAAAAGAGGGTAATGAGGTCAGGTAGAGACGATATTATAGTTGAAGCTAGAAGAGTGCATGCAATGATGCAATTAGCTACGATTATAAATGCTTAAATCATATTGTTTTCCATGCTTCACGGGACATGAAAATCATGCAGAGCGAAGCTTGCGCAATTTTTGACCGTAACTCCAAATCGCAATGTCATCCGCGTTCGGTATTTTTCTGGAGTTTTGATTCAGAATCATTCAGTCGCAACTCGACGACGTAAGTGGTAGCATGTGCGAGTTTGCGTAGTCGCAACTTTTCAAGCAAGCACGCTTCTCAACTGAAATTTATCGTAATTGACTATTGCTAATCTAATATTGTCACATCGTTAAAGAAATTTACATGCATGTTGCTAAGCACTCCTGTTGTTAATTTTTGCTAAGCACTCCTGTTTTCGGTGATTGAAAACTTACGTAACCTTTGAAATTGAACATTTCTCTTCACGATTTCATAACGAAGTTATAAATCATTTACTCAAATTACTGTATCAGCTCAGGCTTGTTTCCAAATTAAACAACCCATCCATGATCGTGTACAAGAAATTGTCTCTCGCAGTCTTTTCTGCTGGCTTCGTTTGTGGTCCATATTTACTCCACAACTATCAGTCGCAACTTCAAACTTTTTTCCCAAGGTAATTGTATTGCGTAATGTAGTTGAGTTGATTGAACTGAACATACTCATAGACAAACCTAAAATCTCATAACTTCTGAGGATTATCAGGATATGATTTTTGGAAGTAAAAATTTAGTTCTTGATCATCTACCTAAGTTATATGTTGGATGATGTTTTGATCATTTGGATGTCATGTCAGGACGTTATGTGAACAGAAATTTACAGAAAATTGAAAAAAATTATAAAATGAGCATCAAACAGAAATTCAGAATGTGTATCTAGATAGGAAAATTTTAATCAATTATAATAATAATCTAGCTTACTGCTTACATTTTCTGAATGTAGATTTAGAGTGTAGGCAAGAGTTGTTACATAAGCTTTTAGCTATTTATTTTATGCAATAAAAATATAAAATCTATTGTTGGAGCTGTTTGCAATAAGCTTAATAGCATAATTGTGCCAGTCATTACTTCTTAATAACATAAAATATACTTATTTCATAAATAAATGGTTGATAAAATATCATACTTTGTTTCCATTCCAAGGGCAAGTTTGAAGAGAAAAAAAATAACTGAATTTTCAGAATAACTTCAACTTTTGTCACTGTACAGGCAGGTAAACTAGGGACTTCCTCTCTGGTTGTTATGAAGAAATTTCAATAAATTGGGGTCCTATGACCTATGCTCACTCTTACGAGTATAAGAGTATTCAAGTACAGTATCACGAATACCACCATTACAAATTCATATATCAGACAGACAGACACCAAGTTATAAACTTTGCATTGATTAGGATAGATTATAGATAATGCCCGAGGTTTGATCATCATTTTGTTAAATCCTTCCCTGTTAGCATAAGTTTATAATAGTGTAATCTGTTTTTGGCTTATCAAAGTTGGTTGTTAGTGTCTGTGTCTTCTAGCCTAGGGTTGGAAGTATAAAGAGTGTGTAGCAAAAACCTTCTCAACCTCTGAGAAGGTTTAAATACTTGTTAGTATGTTGACAAATTCTTCTTAAAAAAGTACATTTTGAGAACTATAAAAAAAGTAAAATACATTAATTTGAAGTGGAGAAACATATAATCAATTAAAGAATTGTGATGTCTTTTTTGGGCAACCTGTCAGCATAATGATTATAATATATATATGTTACCTGGGCATATGTATCATTTTTTCCATGATGAAACAGTGAAAAATTAGAAGACGGTTTGGAGGTGAAGTTGGATTAAGACATTGATGATCAATTTAAAATAAAAAAAGAGGGGTTAAATAGAAGTTCCATGCTAAATTTTATTTGGAACAGGAAATTCTTCAATTAGCCAGATCTTATATATATTGCCTTGATTTGAGATGATGTTATATGGAACGATGGCATTCAGGATGATTGGGCTTGCATGTTTAATTTTGGGATGATGGAATATGGGCATGTATAGATAGATTTATAAAACAGAAATCATAGATATGCTGTATATAACTAAACATATTTGCTTGATTAAATATATAAATATATAGCTATTAGTCTATTATTTGAATAAATTTAAATTAGCTTTGTGCAAACACTGTGAAAATATTCTAATGCCATTTCTATTGTCTAGATGGTTCTGGTTTGTTGATAGTTTGCTATTGGCAATATTCTCTAGTAAATATATACTACTTCTGTAATAAAATTTTGTCTGTTTTGTCTGACTTATTATTATTTTTTTTTATTGGAGGCTCACATAGTTCAGGTTATTTGCACATGTTCCTGTTTGTACTTCAGTTCAAATGCATCTAGGCTGCTGTCACTTCTGAAGAAAAACTCATAAGAATTGTCATTTTTAGTTAGGGAGACTGAAAAGGGACACATTCTAACTGCTGTCACTCAAAACTGTAAGGTTTTTCTGGCTATCATGAGTGACGAACTGAAACTGGAAGTACAGAAACATCAGGAGAGGTGAGTAGAGTTATTTTAGTTATCTATTTTGGTCTATGTAGTGTATGTGATACTTGTTTCATATTCATGGATCTTGCAGAATTTGTCAGGCATTATGTTGCTAAACCATAAAGTGTATGTATACTGACTGTAAGAGAGAGTACCCTCGTTTTTATTGACATGTATTCACTGTTGGTTGAACTGCATCAAAATTTCTTACAAAGATTAATAACCACTACAGAAAAAATTTGGCCTTGTAAAAAATTCCATATTGTATCTGCCCAGGGAATTATTTGGATGTCTCCTGATCTGCATTCATCATAGTGTATATGTCAAATATCATAGATCATCATAGTGTATAACATGTATAATGTTGAGGTACTGATGTTGGAGTTATGTATGAGCTGTTATCTAGCATCTGTAGGTACCTACATCTGAGCAGCCCAGACAAAAATATACATGCACAACATCATTTATTTGTTGCATGAATTTTTAATTTTTACTTAATTAAGGGACATTGACTTTCATCCCATAACTTTCATGTAAAACTCCCTCAATTACGAAGAAGAGCGTATCATGCTCTAACGCGGCTAATAATATATTGATAATTATAAGTTATCTCAATAAACACCCATGGCGAGTATTTGCAGCATAGACATTTCACTCTGAGCTGGGCAGCGCTGCTTTGAAATGTAGCGGCCGCTACCGCTACCGCTACATGCTCTAAATGTAGCGGGCGCTACCGCTATCGCTACATTGCTTAAAATGTAGCGCCGCTACCGCTACTGAAAATGTAGCGGCCGCTATTTGTAGCGCCTTACTGCCCACCTCTGTACATTTCACTCTGAGCTTCTTCATAAGCTCATCAACTGAACGCTATTCGTGAGTTATATGTGCGTCGTGAACGCTGTGACGTGAACACGTTGAAGGTGGCGTGATGTTACTGATGACGTCGGCCTATAAAGAATCTTCTGATGATAGACCACTCGAAACACGGTTACTTTACCTGCCACTTGAACGTCAGGTTCAAATAAATAGTTTCTAAGTTCTAAAAGTCAATAAAGCTGCTTTGCTTATTAAAATTGAAGATGCACCTTACCAGTTTATTAATTTTCGACTAGGTTCGGAACACGCGAAGGAGTTTTGTATCTGAATCGCGTTGCTGTTTTATGAATATCCTTGTGAAAATTGCGTGCATCCTTACGCAAAATATTTCTCTATCAATACCAATGAAAACTAATTCGTGTTCTATTTCTTGACGTCAAGTTTTTGTTTTGATAAAGGATCCAAGCATCCAGTATATTATGAAGAGTAATTAGATCATTTATTAGAATCATGTTCCTGTACGGTAATTTGAATCGAAATTATTCACGGTTAGCGGTACTAGTAGAAAACTAGCAGGCTTGCCCCGCGTTGCTAGGATCGATAATCTACAAATTTAGAATCCCGTTAAATAATAATAATTAAGTTTATATATGTAAATTAAAGAAAGACCCGTTCAAACTCAAATTGAACATAGAAGTCCCATTTGACTCTCGTTTAAAGTTTAAAATAATTATTTTATGTTTTTTAAATTGAAGTTATAAGAGTATATGCAATTTAAATTTAAAATTAATAGTTCACTTTTCGATCCAATAATTCTCTCCTAGTTTAGTAGTACCTCGTTATAAAAAAAATAAGGTCTTTCATCCAATTTATTTTCCAGTTTGGAGTACCTCGCTGTTATCCCATAAAGAATGAATTTTCAGGTTCAGGTACTATATCGCGACATGATATATATCGTGGATACGTGACCGAACAGCCCTCTAAATATTTACGTGACAAACGCACAAACTTCAAAAAATCTTTATAAGATTATATTTAATATAATTAAAAGGATTATAATGGTATAGTTTAGCAAAGTTTGTTCTGTTGTTCGAGTTCAGTTTGCTTTCTCAGTACAATTGAAACGACACTGTGAAACGAGGACGGTTATCATACGGTCTTGATTTTGTTAGAATGCTGTGCGATTCGATTAAAGACTAGATACGTTCTTACGTATCTAGTATTCGTATCTAGTATTACGTATCTAGTATTCGTATCTAGTATTATGTATCTAGTATTACATACTTAGTATTACGTATCTATAGTATTAAGTATCTATAGCATTACGTATCTATAGTATTACGTACCTAGTATTACGTACTCTAGTATTACATACCTAGTATTACGTATCTATAGCATTACGTGTCTAGCATTACGTACTCTAGTCTTACATACCTAGTATTACGTATCTATAGCATTACGTACCTAGTATTATGTATCTATAGCATTACGTACCTAGTATTACGTATCTATAGTATTACGTACCTAGTATTACGTATCTATAGCATTACGTACCTAGTATTACGTATCTTACTGTCTCTTATACACATCTAGATGTGTATAAGAGACAGGGCTTAGCATGTCTATGCCATCGATATACTAGGTGAGACTTAGCATCTATGCCATCGATATACTAGGTGAGGCTTAGCATGTGTCTATGCCATCGATATATAGTTGAGACCTAGCTTAGCCTTAGCCTCTGCCGTGATGTAGGTACGATTCTTAAGTTAGTTGGTATGGTTCATGTGATTGTATACGATCTTGATTCAATTGAGACTTGCAGCATTCCTATCTCAAGCTTGATATTTAGATATTCATTCCCGCAAATTGCGTGACTTTCAACTTTCCGTTTGTATTGTTAACATAAAATTGCATCGTCACCCTCTGCCTGCTAAGACTTATTATTTGAATATCAAGGTATAGGTATCCTGGATGCCTGGTTATTATTATATTATTAAGGTCCATGAGATTGGTTTTTACTGAGTTTAATGACTGGCAAAAGTCTATTCGTGATTACATTTCGGTGTCAAAGTCCTCTCCGTCGGATTGATAAGCTCTGATAGAAATGTCCGAGGGTGATACAGCGTTCTTTTTTATTCAAGGTAAGAATAATTGGGTAGTTTAATGTATCGCTTGACTTGAAATGTTCACTCACAATTATACATGCGAACACAAGATGTTTCGTGTACGAATTCTTGCTTGTGAGATACGTAATAAAATTGAATGCGCTTTTGAGAATAAAAATCGTAGCTTGCCATTCATTTTCTATTTGCTGCAATGCAAATAACACGCCTTAAAAGAAATTAAAGCTTAAAGATTACTTAGGGGGTATTCAAAAATTAAGATTTAATTCTAATTAAAACTGTGATCATTTCAATGTTTTTTTTCGATTTTGTAGTATCGCTTTCGGACAAATTATCATATGATTTACAAGCAGGTTATTCGGGCGTTGCCCATCATCAGTGATCCCTGCAGTTTCAGAATCTCTTTATGCCGAATCCCGTTGATTAATAATAATAATAAAGCTATTGGATGCAAAGTACAATAAGAACCGTTGTAGCCCATATTTTACATAGAACATAGAATTCCCATTCGGCTCTCATTTCTTATTAAAATAATAGATACTTATTTTTAAATTAAATTAAAATTTTTTGTCCAGTCCTGCTATCCCAGTTTTTAACTATTCTCCCACTAGGAATAAATTCTTCAAGTCAAAGGCACATTAAGTGTATTCGCGCTCGGACAGCCCCTATAATATTTTTACAGTGCCAGGCTTCTAACACTTACACACAAAACTAAACTTCGACAAATATACAGAAGCTTGACGAGTTTTGATTCAATTTGTCGTATATAATAAGATTATGAGGTACGTTTCAATTATCTGCTCGTGTCATGCAGCGCTAACAGCTGCTGTAGTCGTGTCAATAACAACAGCGATCAACCTCATACAGCTCGCATGTTTCTCCATTTTTAGCGCATTTTCTCATTTATGAAAAAAATGCACTATTCTGCTCGCCATGTCCGTCTGTCTGTCTGTCTGTCCGTCCGTCCGTGACCTCAAGTTTTCGTCGACGATATAATGGGCTCTGTGTCACTCACTGCAGTGAGTACTGAGTTATATTTTTTGTTAATTGTGTTGTTTGCTCATGACGAAATAATCAGGCTCTCTGCATAACTTGATTGTGAACGCTGAGCACTCGAGTATTTAGGATACATCTTGATCTTATCAGCTTATTTCTGTTCGAGATGAAGATTGTTTTCTTTCAACGGACTTTTCATGTACCTGGCATGAATATGGCTGGCGCTTACAATTAAACTGAACCTATGTTTAGGACTTCAGTTCAGTACCTATTCAAATTTTGATGTATAAGAGTTTTTTTGCATTTATTATCGAAGCTCTTTCATTTAGTAACTTTTCTATCCCATATTGTTCTAGTTTCTATTTTTATTTTCATTTTTTACCATGATTTTCTCAATAATTCTTGTACTATGCGCATACGTTATTGATTGTCTGTTCGATGATTGATTGATTTTGTTCTGATTTCTGATAGTGGTTTTAGTGATGCTTTTAAGCACCAATTAGATGTATTAAGATCAATCATGGAATTCAGCAATTAATCATCTGATCCATTCGAATTTATGTGGTAACATTACTTTAAATGCATTAATGGCCGTTGTAGCCTCCTTAATTCCAATTCCTCCTTGCATGGTTCCAATTCTCGAATGCGTCCAGCGACCATAACGATACAGGGATGAATTCTCAAATAATAAACTTCAAGATAAAGCTGAACAACGCCAGAATATTTGTGAAATCGGTGGTGCTCGATCACCTTCTTATCACTGAATGTTATCGCACAGCTGAGCCGTTATCTGGTGGATTGATATATGGACTGAGAGGTATAGCAGATGTAGCATTTTTTCAATCATTGATCTCAATTTTGATCAATTAAGATCAATTTGATTGATCAAAATTTGCTTCGCACCCACAGCCATCGAATCCCGTAGTAAATCAGGCATTCGTTATATGTGAGTGAAGTGTTTTGAATAAAATTTTACAGTTTAAATCAGTGCGACAGTTACATCGTAGTAACGGGAAAGCACTTATATACTTGATGAAATTGTTGGTGGTCAGTCTACGCTATACAGTTACGTAGCAGAAGCGAGAAAGTACATGTACCTTATATAATGATTTTAGATCAGCCTATGCTGCAGTTACATCGTATAGTAACGGAAATTACCTTTTTAGCGCATTTTCTCATTTATGGGAAAAATGCACTATTGTGCTCGCCATGTACGTCTGTCCGTCCGTCCGTGTCTTCAGGTTTTCGTCGACGAGAAAATTCGCGCTGTCACTCGCTGCAGTGAGTACTGACTTACATTACATTTTTTTATCAATAGCTCGATTTAATTGCGAATTATGCAGGCGGGAATGGCTATGTTTATTTTTCGTGCATCATTGAAACGGTAATCAAGTCATGACTAGGGCCATACTTTCAAAACTCGCTAAGTGAACGTAAGTACTTACGCTCTATATTCTTGTCTATGATTGGTGGATTTTGCTTGAAAGGCCGTCAATGATTAGCTGATGAACTTACGATCTCTTAATTTTTTTTTTGAAAGTATAGGCCTTGATGGGATGTTCTCGCACATGTCGACCTTGAGTGGAGGCCTCCTATACAGCCTATGAGCCGGTGTCAGTGGCGGTGTAGAGAGGCGCCATGATGCGGCTTAGGAAGGAATTTTAATCTTAGGCGATTAATTTTATTGTTAGATTTTATTGCGGTGGATTCGACCGAGCTCCATTGGAGTTCTGCGTTCCTTGGGTTATTATTTAGTAGTCACATACGACCTAATTAAATATTCAAATTAAAATGCGTTGGAAATAAATGTCATTATTTAACTATATTTTTTATTCCAGTTTAAATCTTTCTTGTGATGGTAGGTCAGGACATCTTCGTTCACGCTGACGCTTATCTTGCTTGTCTTGAATTACCGCGTCGAAAATAATTCATGATTCTGACGCTGTGGTAATTGTGGTATCGTGCTCTATTATATTGAATGTGTTTGTCTGACTGATGAATCGACAAAACATTTCGGTGCACACTGTTGAGCAGTGGTAGCACCACCGAGATGAGACGAGTCGTGGGTTCGAGCCTTGGGAAGCTCACTTCATTTCTCTGTGTCGCTGGTGGGCCACTCTTATTAGCCGTCAAGGGGTGGTGCATTCATGCATGACCTTGGGTTGGTGTCCCTAAACGAACTCTGGGTACATGTTACCTGAAGGGATCTTAAGGTCCTGAGCTGTGGTGGTGCAGTGGTGAGAGACTCAGTCTCTCGCACCCAGCTCCCGGGTTCGAGTCCCACTGAGGACAAGTTCTACCGGGAAGCTCAGCTCATGGTCAATTCATCCATTCATTCAACTCTGGTTGATAAATAAGTACCTGACTTGTCCAGGGTATTGTGTAATGCAATCAAATGGTTCTGGCGGGCTAGCGAGTCAGTGATGGTCGTAGAACTACCAGTGGCATTGGTGCCCCGGAAAAACTGACCTATATCACCCCCTCCCTTACCTAGTTGCCACTACCAGGATGGGCAATTACATACACACATCTTAAGGTCCTGGGGCCATACTTTCAAAATTTGTTAAGTGAACGTAATTACTTACGCTCTATTTTCTTGTCTATGATTGGTGGATTTTGCTAGAAAGACCGTCAAAGATTGGCTGATAAACTTACGATCTATTAACTTTTTTTGAAAGTATAGGTCCTGAGTTTCGCCTACGACTGTAGTGACTCCCTGCAATACCGCTCATGCACAGCGCGTAACAGGAGCTAATTTGTCCTGAAAAACTTGTCCCTAGACATCTCCTGTAACCTTGCACCTCCGGTCCCGCGACGCCCTAGGCTGCCACTAGCTTGGGCTTCCCCTACTCATTTTTTTCGTGTTTACCTCAATCGATTCTGGGTGCGTGCGGAAAAGAGAACGTCCACTTTTTTAGGCAGATAAACCTTATTAGATCTGAAGGCTTTTTAACAAAATTCATTTTGTTTTTCCGGTTTGGTGCTAACCGGCTCATCAATAAGCATTTTTTCTTGATTCTTTTTAGCCAGCTGTTCAGAATTCTTACAAGCATCCAAATGAAGTATTTTTTATGCGCGTTTTGGCTGCTGCACCAACCTTACTAACAACGACTGCGACTTGATGTGTTATTCTAGTTTATATTACGCATTGACGATGTACATTTCGTGTTATGTTCTTGATTGTTCACTCGAATTATTGCAAGCAGTGCTGCAGCGTCAAACATTCATAAGAAGAGGTAATCGAATGTTAAATTATATGTGTGAAAAGTTTATAAATTACTTTTGAATCTATGAAATCTGCTGTGAATTGAAAATAAATAAATGATTGAAATAAATGTATGAATTAATCATTAATTTATATGAATTTTGCTTTCCTCTGTCTCATCTTTGCTTCAGAACAAAAAAAAAATGATACCAATAACACTTCACTCTGGCTACTCTCTCCGATAATCCTGTAGTCGTCACAGAAACTTGCATGCAACAAGAGCAAAGAACAATATTAAACAAACAATATATCAAAACAATATTAAACATTCAAGCTTTTGCGTGCAGGTTTCGGGCGCAGTTCACGGCCGAAGTTCGACAGCGACGCCGTGAAGGCAGAGAAGCAGTTCATCACGAGCATCGAGAGCTGGCGTAAGGCTATGGGACTTGACAAGTTCATCCTCCTAGGACACTCTTTTGGAGGCTTCCTTGCCGCGTCCTATGCCATCAAGTATCCTGAGAGGTCAGTTGGGTTAAGACACTTCTAGGACACTCCGCGTCCTATGCCATCAAGTATCCTGAGAGGTCAGTTGGGTCAAGACACTTCTAGGACACTCCGCGTCCTATGCCATCAAGTATCCTGATGGCATCAAGTATCCTGATGGCATCAAGTATCCTGATGGCATCAAGTATCCTGATGATTAAGACACTCGTGCATTACCCTCCTACTATGTCATTTGTTTCATCTACATCTGCCGGGTTGTATTCTCTAAAATATTTCTCACTAGACATGTCGTCGTTTTAGAAAATCGCGTAAACTGAAGGAAGACTCGAAAGTAATTCTGAGCGTTTAAGATAACCATGAAGTCTCACTAAATGCCGCCGTATTACAAAATTAGGAAAATTTCAAAGAAAGATTCAGAAGGAATTGGGACGAACGTAAAATATGATGAGAAATTTGAGTAATTATTGTTAATGTCGAGATTTATAATGAAAAATCTGTCCGAAAGGTTGTTACTTTCGAAAAAATATGATTGAGAGCTTGTTAGTATTGAGATGTAAAATGTGAAATCTGACTGAAGGTTGTTAATATCGAAATCTACGACGAGAAATATGACTAAAACAGAACTTTATGAATAAAAGAGAACTATGATTAGAAGTNGCTCGTCTGTGATTGGTAAGTTTAGCTTGAGAAACCGTCAATGATTGGCTGACGGAGTTGCGAACCCGCAACTATTTTTGATAGTCTGGCCCCATGTGTTCGGTACCGACGTAATGACCGACGAGTTCCAGGGAACTTGGGCCTCTCTTGTAATTTTTTTCTTATTTATGTCGATTCCACACATCACAATGTTCCTCGACCTTCATAATAAAATGGTTATCATTGCACAGGCTCCACATCGTTCGCTTTTTGTTTAGTTATGGATGTAATGGATGATTTATCCTAACCTCAGTATATTCTTTCTCATGTTATGACCAATTATTCTGTTTTTTTAACATTTCTGTTCTTTCTCATTTTTCTGTTCTTTTTATTTCTTGTGATCTGTTATGACGCATTTCACGTATTTTACGTCCACTTGCCTGTACTATTTCCTTAACATCATGACTGCTTCTTTGTTATGATAATGACCTCAACATTATGACTGCTTCTTTGTTATGATAATAACCTCAACATCATGACTGCTTCTTTGTATGATAATTACCTCAACATCATGACTGCTTCATTGTCACAATAATTACCTTAGTCTCCCTCGCTGTCGTTCACTATATATTGTATATGGTATATATTGTATGTATTGATGTCTCTGACGCGTCGCAGGTCCCAGTCTACTACAGAAGGCGCGGCCTGACCTCACCCGCAAGTTTGCCGGACTGCTGCCCAACGCTGAGGAGGACATTCCCAGTTACCTGTACCACTGCAACGCTCAGCAGCCCAGGCAAGTCATGACTGTAATTTAGGTGTCCATGTTGGGGCCAGGCTGCAATACCATGCCTTCATTAAATAAGACTACATAGACATTTTGTAATCAAGGAAATTTTATGCAGTGTTATTAGCAGGTCTGTGGTCAGTGCAATTGATGCAGTGTTACTAATAAGTCAGTTCAAGATGATATGTTTTGCGTAGTTAATGAACCTCGTGTTTGTCCATCTACTGCTGAATTATCACAAATGAAAATGTATCTAGCTAGTAGCTACATATTTCGGTTCCCATGATATATTTAAACCCGGAAAATATTGAAGCTAATTTATGTTGGCAGTGGAGAGACGGCGTTCCACAGCCTCATGTCGGGGTTCGGCTGGGCCAAGCATCCGATGGTGCACAGGCTGGACTCGCTTTGATATCGTCAGTTATGGAAAGATCGGGTTCCAAAGGCCGGATCCCTTGTGAATCAAGTCACGAAAAATTCAAGAATCGGCAACAGGCCATGGGCCTATTTCTTCAACGCCGACACTTCTATTCTATTCTATCATGTTAGGAAAAATGTTGACTGAACCTACAAAATTATTATGCGATGTTGGAGATGTTCACTTAAGGAAATAATGCTAACAGAACTTATGGCAATTTTTAGCTATCGTAAATGCTCCAGCACTTCAATAAATTTATCACTAAAATAACAAGTCCTACAATTACGTGTAGAAATTTTGAAAAATGTTATAATTTTGCAGAGTTTCCATAAGATTATGATTGAAACTATTAGCTTTAAGATACACTGGTAAGATGTAAGCAACGAACACAAATGCACTGAGGTGCATATGAGAAGACATCGTATTAGTAAATTCCGAGAAATCATGTACGTCTGAAAAAAGGTGTAAATTCTGTCTCCTTAGATAAGGCTAAGAATTGAAAAGTTCACAAATTATTGAAAAATTCGTCGGTTAGTAACTAAGGATCATTTCTAAGAAAATTTCACAAATGTAATTTTAAAGATATAATCGAAGCGTTAATCGTGACGCGTGACTTTACGAAAATAAACCTAAGAGGTATTTTCTATCATTCGTGTTGATATACACAGTATATTTTTTATAATTGAGTTACTCACTGCTCTGGTGAGAATTGCATTATTTTTTTCTGAACCACATTGAAGGTGATAAATTAATTCTCTTCCAGTGCCTCAAAAAAAATTTTTTTTTCCAGTTCACTAGACTCAGCTATATATATAAATTTTAAGTTTTTTAGTGTCAATTTAAGGGAGGTAAGCATAAGGCACATTGACAGGTGATTTAATTAAAAGTTTAAATTTTAATTTTCTTTCAATTTAAATATTGACAACTTACGTGCTTATGATCCTCGACTTAAGCTTCGCTGACCTGGCACTCGTTTAACTCCTCCAGATATCTTCATCTTTTAAATTTTAAGTTTGTTGAAGTCTGTTTTTGACTTAATATATTTTACAGGAATATTATATGCTGGATTTTGTGTGGTTATTCTTGCCATCGTTAACTTCGTTGTCACTGCTGTACAAATGTTGATATATTTCATATAGAGGTAATTTTAAGCTTTATTACGTGTTTAGCAGAGACGGATCTAGCTTACGGACTTAGAGCCATGAAATTATAAGGCATTAGCGTTGACAAATTCGCAACATTTTAGCGCTGGTTCGGAGATCGCTCATTACTTGGCTCCTCCTGGATGAATATTGCAAGATTCCTCACAGCTGATGTGAAATGAATTTGATGAACGACTGACATGACTACATCTTGTATAGATGTGTCAGTGCTTATAAAGGTTTTCCCGTTGTCATTCCGGTTTCCTCTGCAATTTGTAGACCCTAAACTAATATTATGCATCGTATTTTGACTAAATACTTATTAATACTCTTCATTAGACCAATATTGTTCAAATGCTTTCCCCCTTTGCAGTTCGTGGCGTAGGTTCGCTAGTGAATTGCATAAAGTTTACTATGCCCGAGTCTGAGGGCAGTACGGGTGATAAGTACGCTGCCTGACATCGGTCCGCAATGATGTCGTTATTAATGAAATAATATTTATACTCTAAGTTGAGAGCGTATGAATTTCAACTTAGAATTCCTCATCTCTGCGTTTTGTTACAAACGCTCTTGACGCAAGACGAGTTACTGTCACGTGAAACACATTTTTATATCAGTCGATGTTATCTTCTGTCTACGGTGTTAGGTAGAACTAGCGCTCTTTCTCAGTCACTTTATTATGACGAGTTTCATCTGTGTTGTGTACAGCTATAGTTTCTATCCCTCACTTTGTTAAATTTAAGTACTGTAAAGCCGAAGGATAGATAAAATGTTATAGTTTTTATAATTATCAAACTATCTTTTAATGTATGAACGTTGATGTCCCGTTATTGAATTATCTTATAATTTGTTTACATCACAATAATATCACGGCAAACAGAACGAATTTTTTGTGGTAGATTTTCATATAAATGGAAATACGCTGGTCGGTATTTTTGAATGTCCGCTAAGTATACATTTTAACTGAGTTTTCTATCACCGAAAGGAAGATAAACTCTAGGTAAGAAATGTATAGTATGTAACGAACTCCTATTTTCACGGAAGGTCAACGAGGTCGGCAGCGCGGGTTTCTTTTCGGCGAAGTGAACGCAACTCGAAAGTCTTGCACCAAAGCAGGAGTGAGAATAAATGACCGTACGAGTGCTGCATTTACTAGCGATCAGTGGTGCAACATAAACTTGTTAGTTACGTGAACTTTATGTTTATTTCAACGGAGGCAAGAAACTAAGAGAATCTGGTGCAGAAATAATTACTTGACTAATGCTACATAGCTTATAAGTTGCTTCATAGATTAAACCCAAGAACCCAAACTGCGTAACAGTGATACACTTCCACAAACTTGTCTGACCTGCTTGTTTGAAAGCCGTTATTCAATGGATCCTTGCCTTAATTTCTGTTAAATTGGCCATGAAGATGCATAGAAGAGGCTGAGAAATATTGTCAGTTGGTGCAGGCAGAATAAATCAGAGCGTTCATGCTCGGTGTGGAAATAGCGTTTCAGTAAAAACGTACACCATGTAAACGTAGAATTAAGAATCAAGAAGAGCAAACTTGACGTCTGTCTTGAGTTATGCACGAAGTTAAACTACAGAGAACAATGCTTTGGAGTAGAAATTTACATTAAAATATAACCAAGATTGCGAATGGAACCCAAAACATCACTTCCAAAATGAACCAGAAATTAATGACATGAGAAATTATAGGGTGCTCTTCGAAAATAAGTTTCGTGAGTAACTGAACATAAGAACTACAAAGCGGTTGAGAAGGATAAGCAAATCTGATCATGACGAGCAGTGATCAGAGTAGCAGCGAGCTGACGACATCCACGCTGTACAAGACATTTACGACATCCAAAACCTACATAAAATTTAGCGGTCATAGTAAATGTTCCAGTTTCGTCGTTGACTGCATCGACTCAACTGTGTAGATTAATGCGTATGTTGTCCGACAGCGCGCGTCTGTGAACATACCGCCATATCAGCATTCCAAATCCAATTTGTTCCTCAGCTAAATCAGTAAATCGTTCAGAAGAAAGATCAGCCGAAATTAGAGACACAAATCTAAGCTATACAGCACCATGAACAACGAGATGATTGCAACGCATCGAATTAAAAGCAACTAAGAGAAACAAATAGGCCAATAAAATCGAGAAATACTCCTACAGCGAGTTGATATCCATATCCAAATAAAGAATGTGATCAAGAAACCTAATTTTTGCCGAGTCAAGAAAACCGAAACCATTGCAGATGACGACATAGGTCGATTTCCCTTAGAAATAACCTAATCAATTAATAGGCCTTCGGGAAAATGTCGCAAGGAGCCATGGCACTGGCGAACTTAGCAATAAAAAAAAATTCCCTGACACATATCGTGCGATAAGAAAATTATAAATGAGCTTCCAATGAATGCCAATTTAACCATTATACTTAAGAATAAACTTAAACTTATGTGAGACACGAATATAAAAATATAGCTATCAATACATAGAAAATACATGAATTGTCATATGGTAATCCAGCAACAGAATCGTTCCATGATGATCACGAATTTGCGTAGACTTTAAATATCTAGACAAGACAAAATCCTAAGATTTTAAGATAAACGCAAACAATCCATTAAGAATTGAACATGATTGTTGACAACTACGGGTCGAAGCTAACTAGCACTTCACCGTAGCATTAACACGTTAATAAGATGATCCTAATAAGTAATACTTAAACGCTTCGTATTGTTTAACCTAAACACCCAAAAAAAAATTAATGACCGTGGTTACTGTAAAACATAAGCCCTTTTATTCAGCAATTAAAACAATTGTGTGTCAATTGAGTGATTATATCTATTACTGGAACTAGCAGAGGCGGCTTTCATAGCAATAATTACAATATATAACTACGATGCTCAACAAGATATTTGTTAACATAGCGGCAAGAGAGAAGCTGTTGGTGCCAAGTATCGTTAATAACAACTTTGAAGTGCAAGCTAAACAAATTAATATCATAATACATCTTATCTTATCCTAGCTTATTAAGAATAACCTCGTCAGTACAGCAGCAAGACGCGTGTGATCCTTGACATGGTCATACCACGACCACTGGTAATGGTAAAGCTACCGTGAGCAAGTGACCTTTGAATGCACAACAAATTAATCCTCTTACAAGCTAACATATTATTGTCTTTTGAGGAACACACCTTCAGATTTATAGGCAGGAATACATGGCAAAAGCTGAGTAACAAAATACAGAGTCATATATGCTTCATATGCTAGCAAGAAGAAACCCGCGGCACACAAACGAAATGAGACAATTGCTGAGTAATTCAACCAGCATTAGTTAGTTCATGACACTGACACTTGTACACGAGCTACAATGAACAATTATTGACACATGAATTTGTAACCTTACGTCTGATCCACACACCACTTCATCCAAAGAATATACTAGCTGCTGGCGGTCAGGAAATGAACGCTCTAACCACTCCGCCCCCAACCAAAGCTACCAAGAACAACGCAATACTTTATTTAACTTGAGAATTGTGTCAGGTTCTCTTCAAGTGTAAAAGATTATACAACAAACAATAATGAAAATTCAGAAGTAGTTCGAATATTTTTCCCCGTGGGAGCAGCTGCAAGTTGGGTCGTCCTATTAGTCAACCTAGTCTCTATGAACTACCAAGTAAATATAAAAAAATCATCTAAATACATCCATAGAAACATCGGTTCAATAATTACATTACTACCTGCAGGCAAGTCACATTACACTCACGACATCAAACAAATAAGATAATATTGTTTAAAGAGAAGATACTTTCCATTGCAAGAGGTATCTTTAACATCAACTCACTATCATCTGGATCAGTTAACATAGACACTAACAGCAATATAATAGCTAACGCAACCGTCATGTCTAAAAACATTGACAACAAATCTACACTCACTCAATACCTAACTAGACGACTATGTAACAAGAAGTTGCACATTGTTTATAAGCTCATTAAAATCACAAGTAAATACCATTGATAAATTAACGCGTTTTCAACATCCACACAATCTAGTTAAAATGTTTTGTTTAGTCCTAATGTCGCTAATTTTATCCTCTATGGCGTTAATATTTTCTACATACACACGACGTCCTAGAAGCAGTTACATTAATCACTTCAAATACTGTGAGGCCACATAGACATTGATATGTATACTATATTTCACATGGAACTACAATGCCAAGTTTTTTAACACAATTTTCATTATGGTCATAGATTTCCGTACATCAATAAATAGCTTATTTTAGTCATTATCTACATTGTTCCCCGTCGAATGAATTTGTGGTCATAAATAAGAAAAGTAACAATCTCATCAGTAGTACATGTAAGTTTTGTGCTTGGTGGAGCACAAAAATACGATGTTAAGAATATTATTGTCGGTGTTTTGCTGGACACAGACGCCCATCACACAAACGATAGAAGGAAGTCACAGGGCAAAGCCACGACTCGTTATTAAGCGCGGGTAATACTTTCAAAGGAATGTTTTTCAAATACATGATCAGGTTGCAAAATCTGTGAAAGCTCTAATACTTCAATCTGTGGCTGGCATATAAAGTGTAGCACGTACGAAATTATTGAACAGAATATGCTCCACACCTAAATGATTAAATTGACGGTTTAGTTAAGTTATTCTAAGAAACTCCGTACCTACCAATGTAAGAAAGGTGAAAAGTTGAAAATCTAAATGCTTCATCAGGCTTTTTGACGGTATTCAACTGCGTCTATCTGTTCTACCTTCGCTGAAAATAGTAACCTAAAGATAATTTATTAGTAACAATGCACAATGAATAAAAATAGCTTTAGTACTTAAATGGTTTAGAAAAAAAGTTGTATTTATAAGAGGGTAGATTAAATTGATGATCGCCTTCCAAAGCTCGTAAGTGTAGTTATTGTCAACATCAGATCTGTATATACGAGTTATAAAAATGCATAGAAATATACCAGAAGATCACCAGATGTTGAAGAGGAAGCCCTTGAGTAGGTATTGTTATTAAAGTATAGTCATAGCACGATTATTGTACCACAATCGCAAGTTTTATAAGTAAGACAATATTGTCGAAAGTTCGGCCAGTCTGAGAGTTGCCCTTAGAATAAGAGTATAAACAAGAATATTTGCCAACATCAACACAGTCGAGAAATATTATCATCCTACCAACGTAGAAATATGAAAATAATTCAAAAAGTTTCCACTTTTCGAGCTGAATCTTCATGATCGTGTCACCAGGCGACATTGATTTCTTTCCGTCATGGTAAGGACAATACATCTTGAGCAGAGAGCTGATGTCTGATACTGACTACAAACTGACGCAGCAACTTCAACTTGAAGAATAATTCGAAGCATAGAGTACACAATGCTTGGTAAACGGCAATCGAGTGATGGTAGTAGGGGTACAAATGCAGTATTTTCTTGCTTCAATGCAGCTCAATGATGTAATATTGAGAAGATGTTTTGCTGTTTCTGATGATTTCAGTACAACGAGGATATGCAATCCAATAGTAATAAGGGCAGCAATACTATTGATTTTAAGGCTTGAGCGCAGTGTTACAGGCTGCGGAGAAGGTTCAGCGTGAACGTCATTTTCGCTGCAATCAACGTCTAATATGGAAGACCACACGGAAAAATAATAGGAACAGTCAAAAGAAGAAATGTGGTCGTTAAATTGTTCAGAGCAGGTATTTGCTTTACGTAGCTCAGGTATTATTAATGGAACTTTATAAGGGATGAGATGTACTGAACAATACCGGAAATAATGGTCCCATTAGGTAAGCACTGTACGGCGCATTATTTAAGTTACGTCACAAAATACAAGATGAGTCAATTTTTGAGATGAAAGTAAGCATCAGCGTACAAAATCAGTTAAAACATTTTCTCGACAGGCGCCACGAACATTCAATCACAATGTCATTTGTCATTACCACTCCGCCGCAAATCAGGCACAGAAATTTTCTGGAATTGTATAGCATTCTTCTTCCGCATGTCTTCGAGCAAGCATTCTAGTCCAAGTTGAGTGGCAAGGACGGCATTTCTTTCCATCTTGTTCCACACAACGACCATCCAGACGGAATAAAACGTCACAAGAACAGTCGCGAGTAGCACCATCATGAGGAAGAACGAAGTACCAGTTTGCACGGTACCCTGGGGACATATAAGACCGATCAATATGAGGTTAACCAGAGTTAAAGCCAGACTCAAGAAGGCGTAAAAGTTCCACGATGAGTCCATGGAACGCTTGCCCTGTGCACAAATGGCAGCTGCGTCGAGCAGAGTGTCGGTTTGCTGGTGGAGAGTGAGCGTGAGTTTTGACATGGCGTTCAGCTGAGACTTGAGCTGAGCGCCGCTGTTGTTGTTCGCAGCGTTCTTGTGTTTGTCGGTCAAGCCGCCGTTGCATTCCGTCGCTGGGGCCAGGAACCGATGAGGGGAGGGGCCGTTGCTAGACAAAGTTTCATCATCCAGGTCAGTGTCTGCAATTAACAAATACATTGGACCAAGAAGGAAAATTTTACGTTCACCTAAATGAATATAATAACTTCATTTCTCATATCGATCCAGATTGCTTCCAGAGTGAGCCCCTAAACACAATAATTGTACCAGAATAGCAAAATCAACATTTACAATTAGTGTCAATGTTCTAACGTAAAAAAATTAATTCCATACTGTTGAAAAGAAATAACATTAGTGATGTTGATGAAGAATAGAAGGGTTGAATATTCTAATTTCAGCATCTAAAAGCACAGAAATGCAATCTTTATCTGTACAGAAGTCGTTGCGTTTCAGTTCTGCGTGTAACATATGAGTTCGCGATACGAACGAAGAGTTTTTTGTCACTGTCTTTCAGAAAATTCACAATGACGATCGTCAGCTTCAGTCGTTAGCTGTCCCATTTTTTGAACTTGAAACATACATTAGTTAAATGTGTTAACTAACGAAGACCCTAATGCCCTTTGCCTACGGATACATTAACCGTTCTACGTGCTCTTATCTTAAGACTATGGAACTAGCGTTTTCGTCAGCAGAACTAGCGTTTTCGACTTTTAGTGCTTCGACTTTACTAGCGAAAACTAGCGTTTTTGGTAGTAGACAAAGTATTGAACCGATGCTCGTTACTTCTTCCAATGATAGTTATCCCAAGTTATGGAAACATCTGGCAAAGTTGAGGCTATTCGTGTCGAGCCTCGTTGATAACTGATAATTGTTGATAATTTTTTTGTCTCATTGATAACTGTTGTTGAGAAACTGAGCATTGACCCCCATGCGCAGGTTTCTCATAATGAGTCATTAGCGAAATTATTTGAAACAAGAAAATTCACGAATATTTTTACTGCTTCCAATGATAGTTATCCCAAGTTATAGAAACATCTGGCAAAGTTGAGGCTGTTCGTGTCGAGACTCGTTGATAACTGATAATTGTTGATAATTTTTTTGTCTCATTGATAACTGTTGTTGAGAAAATGAGCATTGGCCCCCATGCGCAGGTTTCTCATAATGAGTCATTAGCGAAATTATTTGAAACAAGAAAATTCACGAATATTTTATCAAAAACTGTCACAAGTTGCTAAGATACACAAAATAAAATTGAAGCAAATACACATAGCTACTTAGAAGCATTCGAAATTATGTTCAACAAGTTTAAGTTGATCATTGGAGTACTATTATATAATAATTACTATCAATTAGCATTTAGCATAGATACTATGAAGAAAAATAAAGCAAATACACATAGCTACTTAAAAGCGTTCGAAATCAAGTTCAACTAGCTTATAATGATTATTGTACTGCTATATAATAATTACTATCAATTAAGCTTAATAACTTACCGTGCTTCCTGGTGAGCGATATTATATAATAATTACTATCAAATAAGCTTAATAACTTACCGTGCTTCCTGGTCAGAGAGAAGACCGCCCTTACGGCTTCGTGGAAGCGTTCGAAATTAAGTTCAACTAGCTTAAATTGATCATTGAAGTACTGCTATATAATAATTACTATCAAATATACTTAATAGTTTACCGTGCTTCCTGGTGAGCGATATTATATAATAATTACTATTAAATAAGCTTAATCGCTCACCGTGCTTCCTGGTCAGAGAGAAGACCGCCCTCACGGCCTCATGGTCGGAGAAGCTGTAGGTAGTTGAATATTGTAGAGCATATTTCATCATAATATTAATGTAATGTAGAACGTTCGTAGAGCATATTAGTTGAATATTGTAGAGCATATTTCATCATAATATTAATGTAATGTAGAACGTTCGTAGATCATATTAGTTGAATGCTCTACATAAATGAAATGTCGCGTTCTTAGAGCATAGTATTCGAATGCCCTACATTAAGGAAATGTAGAGCTTTCGTAGAGCATATTAGTCAAATGCTCTACATTCACCATACTCCACGTATGGTGAATGCCTTAAAATATTAGATATTAGTGAATATGTTCGATATAAGTGAAATTCTGGCAAATGATTCGCCAGAGAGACACAACGATATGAGACACAATAACAACTTTGTTTTACAAAAAAACGTATCTAATAATTAATATAAAAGACCGGCAGAATCATGAATACCTACTATTAAATCTTAAAAGAATTTGAACCTTGTTGTCCTGAGACTCGATAATTTTTTTCTAAATTGACTTGATTATATTATAATATAATATTAATATTATATAATAATATAATATTATTCATGTTCATATTTATGCCTAATGAAAGCAACCACCTTGCTATCTCCATCATTCTTCAAATACCGATTGTACTACTAGTCTTCTGTCTATAAATCTAACTTAGTATATAGCGAAATTCTTGAATACTTTATACAAGTTATTGCCTTAACCCGGCCACTCGTTTAAACCACAATATTCACCCAGGTTCTGCACGGTGTCTAACTTAGTATATAGACTATTTCTTGGCTACTTTATATAAGTTATCGCCTTAACCCGGTCACTCGTTTAAACCACAATATTCATCCAGGTTCTGCAAGGCGCCGGCCACCACGTGTACGCTGACCGAGCTGAGCGCTTCAACTCTCTTGTGAACATCATCGGTAAGCACGTGGTTAATTGCATCATTGAAATTTTAAATTTGAAAGAGTAATAAGATTTTAGAAAAATATGTATTTTTCATATGAATGTACCACATGTGTACACATCGCGATTCTGAGAAGTACAGCGTGTACATATATGGCGCACATCGCGGCCAACGTGTTAATATAAAAATAATATAATTATCATTACTAATTACTATAATTATCATTAACACAATATTCACATTAAACACATAACATGAAGACAATTACTAGTATTGTTGCACCTTTATATGTCATCCCTCATAAATTCTATACAGCAAGACTGCATTGGCTTGCAAGTTTACATGCTGGAGATCTAAAATATCAAATTCATATTTACTTACCAAATATTAAGTGTAAGCACTCTTATGACCATAATCTCTTTGTCTTCATTTACTGTGGTCTCGTGCAGGACAGCAGCATCTTCAGTAGGCTCTTCCACCATCATTTTTAATTGAAATCCTATACTATGTACTTTCCACTTTGATATTAATAGAAAATAAAACTAAATTAAATAGAATGAGTTTAAGTTAGACAAATGAAAAATATCATGCTTCACTATAAATGAAAGATTTGCTCTACTACCTTCAGATTGATAATAAACATTTGCTATTAAAGGTTTTTATGGAAGTAACATAATTTATAAGCTTGACAATGACAACTGACAGTTCAATAGTTATATATCAAATTAGCCCTTACATGCACAAGTGACTGGACCCTACACTCTTCCACATGTGCGTGAAAAATGACCCATATTAAAATCAAAGCATTTTTATGCCCAATTTGTCAATTTGGTAAGGAATAATCACTGCTCTAACATTTAATGTTATACATAGGACTGGTCAAACAAAAAGTTTTTTGTGCTTAAACTATTTAGATTTTCCTTTTTTAACAGCTCTGAAAAATAAAATTACACGGAACAGAAGTAAAAAATATGAACATTGCAAACATACATTGTGTGTGTGTAAGACTGTAAATTTTCAGTCATTCAAAGTTCTTCTCTTTTCAGCTCATTTTCTCATTTACGGGAAAAATGCCCTATTGTGCTCATCATGTCCCTTCGTCTGTCCATGACTTCACGTTTTCGTCGACAAGAAAATGTGCTCTCTGCCACTCACTGCAGTGAGTACTGAGTTACATTTGTTTAATTTGCACTAGACTCCCATAACTTTACTATGCAGTTCAGACAAACTGTCATTTTCTGACTGTGATTGTGGTACACAGGTACATTGCATTTCCCTATGAATTCAGCATTACTGATATTTTCATCATTATTTTGTGGACAAATCTGAAACCTCCTTCCCTTTTGTTGCCCCTGTCTACTTCATGCCTGCAGATTGGTTGTGGATTTTGACATCCCACATCTTACTGTTGCTTGCTTGCTTCTATGATTAGGGTTTGTAATTGGTGCAGCCTTCTAGTTGATTTTTCATGTGTGGTGTGACGAGGCCAATTGACAGCTCTTTGAGGAAGAGCCTTTGTGCTTACCAATTCCACTTCTAAATTCTGGTGCTGACCTATGGAAAAATGTAGGTTTAAGAGCAACCACTTCAGGTAGGTTATCCCACAGCACCATGGCCACCTCTGTGTTTGCTGCTTGCAGTTGCAGGTGATGGTAATAACAATCTGGTCAAAGGTGTCAACCTCTTTTTTGAGTTTTTTAGAAGAGATCACTTCTGTTCTTTTCATACAGCTGTCTTCATCCACTAGTTTCTCCAGATGCCTCATACTCAGGAGCACAACAGCTTTTTGGTTTTCTTCAATATATGGTATAGAGGCCATAATTATAACAAAACTCTGTACTGTGAACCCCTCTCACCCGGGATTTATCATTTATAAGACTGGGCACCACCCTAACAGGTACTGCATAAGTGGCATACTGTTGGAAAAGTGGCCTTCATTCATCATTCATATTTTATTTACCATATATTTATTCATCCATTATTATATTTATTATTTATGCATCACTTATTTATCAAACAGGAATTTATTGTTCAATTCTGCCTTTTGGTGAATTTACACCATTTATATCTTCTATCAGTCAGACCTGTTTGCTGTTTCCCCTACCCTACCCTGACCAACCTGAGTTCAAGTCTCAACCAAAATGTTTTATTTTAGTTATAATAGAATCAATAGATAGGGTAAACGCGGTATATTCCGACACATTAAGGACGCATCGAGAAATGAAAAACTATAAAAAAAGTATGCATTACGTAAGTTCTGTTGCCTTCACATGACTCTCAAAACACTTCACTACGCGTCAGCAACGATGAAACGTCACAAAATGTTGCCATATTTATTAAAAAGCCTTTAGAATGGAAACCTACCAAATCCCTATATTCCGTCTAGATGGCCAAGACCTAGTGTTTTGGCAGTATTTTGACTCGCAAATGCATGACGTCACCATTTCAACCATCAACAAACGCATGGAACTAAAACAAAGCTTAATATAAAGGAAAAACTGGAGAGGTGACGGAATTACCTACGATGTCGGAATATACCGTGTTTACCCTAACCTACAAGTTGTACTACATGGCTATGCTATGCCCTACAACAAGAGCTTTCTAATGGTGCTAAAATCTTTTAAATTGTCTTGTCCAAAATCTAGAAATACTAGTTTTTCCAAAAAAGTGCCAGAAATTGATCAATTTTTGGGATGTAATTAAACAAAGAAAAATCTTCATAGCTTTTCCACTTTTATTTGTAGTCCACTCAAATTTATATTGTATTTTTCTATATTTGTTCTCTTTTCAGTCTTTCAGATGTATAACTTTCATTGCAATCAAAGAAAAAAAAAAAAATTTGTGCACATATGCCATATGGTCAGACCTAAATAATAGTGTGTTAGACAATTATTAAGCATGAAGTGAAAGTTATACATTGCTGTTGATAAAAAAAATACATTAGCTAGCTACTAGATTGCAACTTGCAAGCAGCCAGGAAATTCAACAGAAATTTCCTGGCACAGTCCAGTGTTAACACTAACAGGCTCCACAGCCTCCACTTAGCTACTGTCCAAGTTCTCAACACGCTGCAAATATTGAAACTAAGTTTTCATACCAATGAGGGTATTATAGACTAATGGCTAAAATTGGATACGATATCTATTATCTAAATAGTAAATACAGCTGTAAACTGATACATACAACAAAGTACGAAACTAAGAAAAGTTGAGAGAACTTGAGACATCAGTGCGTATATTATGTCTACGTGTAACTGTAACGTCAAAGAAATACGAGTTTACGCTCGGCAAACTGTTTTCAAAATCGCGATTGTTTCTTCTTCTTCTAGTCGTTGTTTAATAGGAGATTTAGAGGCACGTCCATGCAGCACGGCAGCACCATGGCAGGTCGCGATTGTTTGGTGGTGGTCGCGGGTTGTAGGTGAAAAAGAAGTCGCACGTTGACCGCTTGTAACACCTGGACTCAGCAATAGTTATTTAGTTGAAGTCTTCAGCGTGTTTCTTTTAATTTCATTTTCTTCTTTGCTGGCATGAGCTCTCCTTGTTATCAACAATTCTCTTGTTTAGGGCAAATCGCAGTTTAATCCAGTGCATTTTACCAGCTACATAGTAGATAATCGACCGGTTTGCATGAGGTATGTGGTGGTTGCTCTCATTATGTGGTGCTGAACTCTTCTGGGATAGTTTCCTCCACCAAGGAGCACACGCACAGATGTGAGAGGGACTCCCAGGGCATGCACACTTGATATCATCACCTGTCTCTCATGATCATATAGTGTACATGAAAAGAGGAAGTGTTCAATTGACTCTTCAACCCCACAGTGCAGGCACATGGGAGTGTCAGCCATGCCAAATCGATGAAGAAATGGACGAACCCCAACGTGGCCAAGACGAAGGCGGGTTAAAACCACTGCTGCACGACGAGAACGGCAAGCAACCCATGGGACAGGAGACATCCCGGACCGAATGGAAGCTAGATGGTGGCCCCTTCCATCAGTAGCCACTGTGGTAACCCAATTCAGTTCCCAAAAACGAAGAAATTGTGACCGAAGACCAGCAAGAGCATCTGAGCAAGGTAAAGGAAACAAGGCAGAGTGGTCAAGGTGATGTCCCAGTTTGGCAACTGCATCAGCACGCTCATTACCCATAATGCCAATGTGAGCCTTGACCCACTGTAGATGCACAATCTTTGAGTCATTTGGCCGTATGAGTATCTCACAGTATCAAAAGTTGCAAAGCCACAAGAGAGTCAGAACATATTACCCATTGAGGGAAGGAGTCTGCTTCAATCAGTCGCAAGGCCTGCAAAATTGCAATTAGTTCAGCAGACAAGACACTGTGATGTGGATTCAACCGCCATGCAACTGCTTGCCTCACAGATGGAACATAAAGACCACAAGCAACAGACGGACCATCAATCAGTATACCGTCAACAGGCTGTAATAAATACAAATATAACTCAGTATGTTGCCGGGAGTCTCGTTAGTGGCACCGATGCCGTCAACAGGCTGTAATAGATACAAATATAACTCAGTACTCACTGCAGTGAGTGACAGAGAGCGCATTTTCTCGTCGACGAAAACGTGAAGTCACGGACGGACGGACAAACGGGCAAACGGACGGACATGGCGAGCACAATCGTGCATTTTTTCCATAAATGAGAAAATGCACTAAAAATATGATTAATACAACTGTATAATTAATAGTTGATTAATTAATTATTGAGTCTCAAAACACGAGCTTTAGATGGTGAATTTTAGACCAAAACAGGAAAGGTTTGCAAAGCTCACAGCAATATAAGATAATTAATAACCAACAAATATTTCCACTTACATAAGATTCTTTATTAGTACTCAAGCTACAGCCTGGTTACAGATTCTAATTTAATGAAATATAAATAAATAAGTCATGAGATTTTATTAGTCATCAACATGAGGCATAGTGTTGATGCAACTGAATAAAAGTAATTAAGTCATCTAAACCCGTTTCAAATTACATTGCTGATTAATATAATGCTACATTTAACACAAAATTATAAAAGTAAAGCTAATTTTATATAGTCACTAATTAATGAGCAGGTACATATAAAAACCATGAAGTAATCAGCAAAATACCATAAGTATGCACACTTCTCATAATTACCTTATTAGGAGCATCTAAAAATGCATGAGTAATCAGCAAAAATACAATAAGTATGCCAATTTCTCATAATTACGGTACCTTATTAGTAGCATCAAAAAACGCATGAGTAATTAGTAAAATAGAAGTCCTATACACAGATCTCATAATTACCTTATTAGGAGCATCAAAAAAAGCATCTCTGAGCTGAGCGTTGTCCCGCAGCAGTCTGTAGGGAACCTCGTGCGGCTCGCAGTTCAGATCGCCCCCCAATATCACAACGGAGTCCGCTGATGAGCACCAGTCCAGCACCTGTGAGGGCCGTGGCACATTAGCTTGGCTTTAGACATGAGAGCTGCCATGTACATGTTTATTTCAACTAGGCAGCATATATATAAGCTTAATTCAAGGGCAGGGCAGCCTTATAGTTTTCAGTAGGAGGTAACAAAGGTAAAAAAATTGATTTATTGTTACTATCTACATGTTTATTTCTACTTGGCAGCATATATATTAGCCTAATTCAAGGGTAGGGTAGCCGTATAGTTTTCAGTAGGAGGTAAGAATTTGTAGGAAGGTAAAAAAATTGATTTATTGTTACCATCTACATGTTTATTTCAACTAGGCAGCATATATATAAGCTTAATTCAATGGTAGGGTAGCCTTATAGTTTTCAGTTGGAGGTAGCAATTTGTAGGGAGGTAAAAAAATTCATTTATTGACAGCCATACAGAGTGACTTGCATTTACATTACTAAAGATTTTATATTAAATCAGCCTTTATTGGAATCTGTGAATGTCCTCTGATATAGGATTGACAAATAGCTTTTTATTTCTAAGAAACATATTTATGGCCTCTAAAAATGAGTTTATCCTAAATTTCTACTGCATATAATTATTCAATATATAGAGGCAATATATTTACCAATTAATTTCACCCGAAATAATTTCCTTCTTCAAATTTGAGTCATATTAAAAAATGAGACATAGCTACCTATGGGATAAAATATCGATGAAAACATGACCAATTTGACTAAGGCTAATTTTTATGAGCAAGCAATGCCAATGGTTGCCCTCTATTATCAGATAGAAAAAAATATAAAATACAAATACATTTTCATCTAAAATATGAAGGACATCACCATTAATTAAAAATGTTAATTAGTCACCAGCATTTATGAGGCCAAATCTGGCATGTTAACAACAAACTGGACATTAGAGGATTTGAACTGCTTGCAAGAAATTATAAAAAAAAACATTACATACTTTTACAACTTGTAAGGTTCTTTCAACCTTGAAGTCAATGATGCAATCTAGCTATTTTTAAGAACTAGCCACACTGCAATTAATTAATATCCAAACATTTAATAGGGACAAAAAGAATAATGACCAACCTGGGATGTTTCATATGCTTGAACAACTCGATGATGAAGATATTCATCTTGAAGGTGATGGTAAACAGCATGTAGCTGGTGATAAAAAATTATTAATAGAAAAATTTTAGATAAAGAGAAGATGGCATCAAAATCAGATGATAAAAAATTATTAATAAAAAAATTTTAGATAACGAGATGATAGCATGAAAATGTATTAATTGAAAAATAATAGATAGAGAGAAGATGGCATCAAAATCAATCAGGCAATATTACACAAAAGAACTCAAGGCTGGACCTTAACACAAGTGATAATAAACTTGAAACTGCATGAACAATAATCATGTTGCTGAACTAATAGTATATAACTGATAACAAGTAGCTCTACAAAAATTATGCTGATTGCTACCTCAATATTATGGTTCATTAAATTCCAGTGAAGGTTTGACCAACAGTTTGCAGAAATGTATGGTAGGTGGTAAGAAATCAATTTAGGCAAATGATGATACATAAAATAATATAATTCAGCATTAAAAAAGAAAAACTCACATGAGTGGTTGCAAGAATGAAGTTAATGCCATTGACTTGTGTCCTGCAGAAGCCCACTCCCTTGCCGCCCCACCAGTCCCCATGGTATACTTTGTGGGGCAAGCCATTGACGCTCCAGGGGTGGAAGTGTATGGAGGTGAGCGGAGACTTGGAAAATATGCACAAACCGGCTCCAACAACTCCGGAGTAGAAGAAGTGTGAGTGAGGAAGAACTTCCTTTAGCTGTAATAAAATAATAATAAATAAATAAATAGGTATGTATAAGTTGAAACAAGTAGGTATACTAGCATAGTCCTCAAATATAGGTAGGTATATCATATGTCAACTGATTAATTTCAGAAACATATATTATTAATCTAATAAAATTTAGAAATAATGAGGTACAAGTTAGAGCATTTTTTACAATAAGCTCATTGTTAAAGATTCTATGCAGGTATTCTCTTTATTAAAAAAACATGAACAGAATATATCAATATAGGTATCAAACCATTTATAAATGATGAAATGTTGAACTAACATGTATAGTACAAAACAAAGAGCAAGATACAAACCTTTGCAGCAATGGTTGTGTAGTCTTGTGAGCTCCAAACCTCCTGCAGGAACAAAAAATTGAACGGTTCACTTGCACTGCAGATCTGCTGGCAGATGGCACTGATCCTGGCTTCTCTGTCTTTTGATACAAATGGAATTCCCCTGGAAGCAAGGAGAAAAAGTTATTGACTTATGAATATGCAAAAAATTTGGGAGAAACTCTTGAAAATTTTGAGTCATAAAAATTGGCAAATAATAAAATTTCTTACACCATGCATTGCTATGGTAACTAAATAAGTTAAAAAAATTAATATTTAATTTAAAAGGCTCAATATAATGAATGCATAAGCTTAGCAACAAGGACAGCAATAATGACTGCCCAATTTTCATGAATGGACGGATACCCTCATACCAGCATTATAATTTGGATATTCAGTAAATGTTTGAACTAGGTCAGAGAAATTAAAACGGAATGATTTCGAAAAAACTTTTGGTTGCCATAATGTTGACAAAATAATATTATTACCATTACATAACACAACATTTGCAATAAACACATAGCATGAAGATAATTACTAGTTTTGTTACACTTTTGCAATTTGCATTGGCTAGTTCTGTTGGCTGCATTGGCTTGCAAGTTTACATGATGGAGATAAAAAATATCAAATTCATATTAACTCACCAAATATTAAGAGTAAGCACTCTTATGATCATTATCTCTTTGTCTTCAGTTACTGTTGTCTCTTGCAGGACAGCAGCATCTTCAGCAGGCTCTTCCACCATCATTTCTTATTCAAATCATATACTACTTTCCACTTTGATATTTAATGGAAAATAAAACTAAATTAAATAGAATGAGTTAAATTAAACAAATGAAAAATATCATGCTTCACTTTAAATGAAAGATTTGCTTTACTACCTTCAGATTGATAATAAAGATTAGCTATTAAAGGTCTTTATGGAAGTAAATTAATATATAAGCTTGACAACAGACAATTCAATAGTTGTACATCAAATTAGCCCTTACATGCACAAGTAACTGGACCTTACACTCTTCCATGAGCAGGTGAAAAATTACACATATTAAAATCAATGCATTTTTATGTCAATTTTGTCACTTAGGTAAAAATTAATCGTTGCTTTAATATTTAGTGTTATAAAAATATACATAGGACCAATCAAAAAAATATTGTGGTTAAACTATTTTCATTTTCATTTTTTGGCTCTTCCACCATCATTTTTAATTGAAATCCTATACTATGTACTTTCCACTTTGATATTAATAGAAAATAAAACTAAATTAAATAGAATGAGTTAAATTAAACAAATGAAAAATATCATGCTTCACTTTAAATGAAAGATTTGCTTTACTACCTTCAGATTGATAATAAAGATTAGCTATTAAAGGTCTTTATGGAAGTAAATTAATATATAAGCTTGACAACAGACAATTCAATAGTTGTACATCAAATTAGCCCTTACATGCACAAGTAACTGGACCTTACACTCTTCCATGAGCAGGTGAAAAATTACACATATTAAAATCAATGCATTTTTATGTCAATTTTGTCACTTAGGTAAAAATTAATCGTTGCTTTAATATTTAGTGTTATAAAAATATACATAGGACCAATCAAAAAAATATTGTGGTTAAACTATTTTCATTTTCATTTTTTTATTATCTCTGAAAAAGAGAATTATCCTAAACAGTAATAAAAAATATGAAAATTGCAAGCATACATACGGTATGACTGTAAAAGTCTAGTCATTTAAAGTTCTCTTTTTAGCGCATTTTCTCATTTATGGAAAAAATGCACTATTGTGCTCACCATGTCAGTCTGTCTGTCCGTGACCTCAAGTTTTCGTTGAAGAGGGCCACAGAACATTAGCTATAGTATCCAGTAGGATCATTCATTCACAATTGTACCTTAATGTATGTCATGTTTTATTTCATTTTCGTTTGAGTGTCGTGTGCATCTAATTAATCTTGTATCTTGTTCCCCTTTGTGTAATATTTAAGCAGAGTAAAAGTTATTGAGACGAAATTCTTGCAAGTCCATAGGAAATGCACTTTTGATTAATCTGCCCCCTGATTACTGAATTGGAAATTCACTGGTTGCACCTGATTCTTTTCTGACCTTCAAAAGCCTGCTTATAATGCCTTAATGCATGATTTGATCTACACCTCTGCTTGCTAATCCCATCCTGATGCTCCATCTTGGTGAGTACAGTGCATTTCAGCTCATCAAAATGTCACCATGCTTATATTTGTCTTTGCGAGCTCTTAACAAATGTTTTCCAGTTATTCATGCCTGTTTATAACGAATGAAGGATGGTTTTTACTGGTTCTCATGTTAATCCTTTCCTTTTATTGCACAATTTTCATTTTGCTTACTTGAACCATGTTGTGTCCACCCTTGATTAACTTACTTTCTGCAACCCCTTCCATGCATTGATGACTTTGTGTGTGACAAAACAGTTTAAACATTCTCCTGATGTCAATATTTCTAGAAGGCTACTTCTTAGGAATGCATTTATTTGACGTTTAGGAGCGGTTGGTGTGGAGCTACAGTCTTCTTGATGAGAACCTATGATCACTCAACCAACTCCTGGCCATCAAGAAAGAAGATAAGACATTCCACCTATGAACCAAAATTTGATTTAGATCCCAACTTGAAGTTGATGAGCCTTGCACTTTTCCTAGATACCTTGAATCCAGGCTTATGTGACTTAGTCCAATTCTCTAGTTGTTTCTAGGAGTATATTTACTTATTAGGATGCTAGTGACTAGGAGTATAGGAGTATATTTAATGACTTGTGCCACTTAGTAGGACCAGTTGTCTTTCATAACCCACTGACGAATGCCCCATACATCAGTGAGGGAATCATGTTGTGTCAAGAGTAGGTGAAACTTTAGTCTGACTAGCTAATAAACCATAAGTGCGAAATTAGGATTTAGTCTGACTAGCTATATACTGGTACCAGAAGTGCAAAATTAGGATTTGCCGATTTAATTCTTGAACTGCATAACTGTTGCTTTTTTCTTGCTTTACTTCCATTGATGTTCAACATTTAGGTATTGTGTGACCTAGTCCGCTTATGCATTCCTGTGCTTGGCAGCTATTTGTTTCTATTTGCTAGCCACCTACCATTTGCTTTCAAAGTGTGCTCTAGGCCCTAGATAATCATTAGCTCTCCCAACAGCCCAGGAAATGGTAAGATGGCTACAACCCTTTGGGCATACTTCCTGCCATTAGGTAAGAGTGATGGTGCTGAGTGCAGCATGGTTTGAGTGTGGTGTGCTTGGGTGTGGTATGTAAGTGTGTGTGACTTGGTCCACAAGCCACTCAGCATTGATCTCCATCCCTCCACCAGCGGTCAAGTTCTGCCTTGCCAACTATCAATCCTTGGCTTGTACCTGAAGCCTGCGATGGTTACTACTTGATTTATGATTACTACTTGATTACTACTACTACTAGGGATGGTTAATACTTGATTTATGGTTGTCAAAACCATAGTTGGCCTTGGCTAATGTTTGAGAAAGACATTATTATTATCTGGCAGCAGAAGCTGTTAATAACTATTTTTCATTTTGACTTTACTATTATTTCATAGTTACTCAAAACTACGATGCTGAGAGGCCTCAGTGGTCCACTCATTAGAGCACTCTACCCAGACCACCAAGTGGGCTGAACTGACACCACCGCTAGTGTTTCATTTAGACTAGGTATCATTCAGTTATTGTTGTATCTGCCATTTTGTATTTTGTGTTTTGTTAGTAGTAAATTGTTTAGTGTTTTCCATGTTTCATGCCTTCCTGAATGTGACTCCTTCTGACCACATTCAGTATTTGTTCCATGACCCAGGACTCAAGAGATACAGTCTCACATATTTGTGCAGGCTTACCGGGAACCACTACATTGTTGATGAGAAAATGCGCTCTCTGTCACTCACTGCAGTGAGTACTGAGTTATATATTTTTTTAATTTGCACTTCTCTCCCATCACTATATGCAGTTCAGACAAACTATCTTTATCTGACTTTGATTGCGGGCTTTGTGGCACACAGGTACACTGCATTTCCCACATATATTCAGTATTACTGATATTTTCATCATTATTTTGTGGACAAATTTGAAACCTCTTTCTCTTTTGTTGGCCCTGTCTACTTCATTCCTACAGATTGGTTGTGGCTTTTGACATCCCACATCTTTCTATTGCTTCTATAATCAGGGTTTGTATTTGGGGTAGCCTTCCAGTTGATTTCTCATGTGTGGTGTGACTAGGCCAATTGACAGCTCTTTGAGTAAGAGCCCTAATGCAATGGGAGATTCCACTCTTAAATTTTGGTACTGAGCTATGAAAAAGTGTAAGTTTAAGAGTGACCACTTCAGGTAGCTTATACTACAACACCATGGTAATCTCTGTCTCTATGCTTGCTGACACAGCTGGTGTAGCTTATAACCATAGGTCAAATCCTTCTAAAACAACACAAAAATAAGGTTATGACACCATGGACCAGGTCAGTGGTGTCTTAAGCTCCTTTTTGTGTTGTTTTAGAAGAGATTACTTCTTTTCCTTTTTATGACTATTTTCATCCACTTGTTTGTCCAGATGCCTTGTGCTCAGGAGTCAGCATGACAGCTTTTCATTTTTTTTCAATATATATAGAGCCTATAATATTAGAGGTGATTGATCATGTTAAGGCTGTCATTGAAACCAAACCCTGTACTGTCTCACATAGTAGCTATATATGAACTATTGCCAATAGTGTGTTGGAACTTGGAAGGTTATTGAGCATGAAGTGGAAGTTATACGGTATGTTGCTGTTCCTTGCTTGGTACAACTGTTTTCTTATTTTTCTTTGCAGGGGGCCCAAACTGGGTGGACATAAAGCCACAGGTCTGCCTGATGGATGACCATTGGGCTTGTTGCTGGTTAAGTTTTTAGCTTCTTGTACAGGAAGCTAGTCAGTGCTCCCTTATGAGAGATAAGTTCTCTAGCAGCTCTGAACAAGATTTGAGGAGTTTTAAAGGAGACAAGTATTAGTAAATGAACTTCAGACTAAATGCTCATTTGAGGCAAAGCATAAAAGGTAAATGAATGCTGGTTTAGCCTCTCTACCTACTACAAATACCTAAAAGACATGCCTAGATGTTGATAAATACACCAACAGTAACTGTAGATAGAACATAAGTGGCAGCAGTAATCAAACATGAGCATGGCGGCCATGTATGCTTGTGTACAGCTGTTGCGTGGCAACCTACAGCTTGCCTATCCTGCCTAACTTTAATATGAATAAAGTAAAAAATTGAAATATTTTCTGTTGTACATTATCATTATGGTTATTTCCGCCAACAAATAACATAGAGTAAATTTTATATTATTGCACCTTAAATTACCTTGTAGCTCTTGTCTTGGCAGTACATGACATTGACACTCCAGAAGAAAATGCGCTATTGTATACGTTTTGCAGGTGGTACATTGATCCTTGTTGCTCTTATTGAATCCATATAGAGGGCTCTTGAAACTGGCATGACCAATTCTGGGTCTTGCAGCTGCACACTCTAACCTGCGGGACTTTAAGCAGAGCCAAGGGCACTCTGTCATGAGGTCACTCATGAATGTGCTCTTCTGAGTGTGAGTGACAGCTGCTTTCCAAGTCCTGGTCCAGTGCTTGTGTAACTTCTTTCTTACGGCGTTGTTACCGGAGGTTAAAATAAGGCTACTGTGTAGCCCAACCTTCATGTCTCTCTTTACTAATTATCATATTTCTTTAGTTCTCAATCCAACTCAATTTAAATTAAATATTTTTTATCTTTTTCAGTGTAGATGACCAAAGTATCATTTGCAAACTTGAATAATCACTCTTAAGTATTTGGATTCCTACTCAGTATCTCACTCAGCCTGGGCAC